TAACCTCAGTTTTTCTCCATAATATAGAAAATATTCTAATATAAACAAAGGTTTTACAATAGCATGTATCATTAAAAAAATTAATGTAGAACAGAATATGCAGAAGGAGATGCCTGAGAGGAGAGTCAACAAAATATTAACAGTGCTTGTGGAAGATTGTATTTCCCAAAAATGGCCACAATGTTATCCAGCCCACATGTTCTTGAGGAACCTTGCCACTTCCCCATCAAGAGGTGGAGTCTACGCCCATCTTCCTTGAACCTGGAGGGCTTTGGGGACTGCTTTGACTAATATAGTATCTCAGAAGTGTTGTTGCCATGATTTCTGAGACTGTCTTAAAAGAACAAATACAGCTTTGTTATGGACTGAAAGTTTGTGGCCCACAAAAGTCATATGATGAAATCCTAACCCCCAATGTGATGGTAGTAGGAAGTGGGACCTTTGGGGAGTGATTAGGTCATGAGAATGGAGCTTTCATGAATCATTTGTGCCCCTGTAAAAGAGGCCCCAGAAAGCTCTCTAACTCTTTCTTCCATGTGAGGATACAACAAGAAATTGGCAATCTGCAAACCAGAAGAGGGCCCTCATCCGAACCCAACCAGGCTGTCTGGCACTCTGATAATAGAATTCAAGCCTCCAAAACTGTGAGAAATAATTGTTTGTTGTTTAAGCTATCCAGTCTATGGTAATTTGTTATAGCATCCCAAACAGACTAAGATAACTTCCACCTGGAGCTGTCTCTCGGGACATGCACCTCTGGAACCCTGAGTTGCCATCTAAGAAGTCCCACTACCCTGAAGCCACCATGCTGGGGAGACCACATGGAGAAACCACACAGAATTAGAGGGAGACATCCAGAGAGCTCCAGCTGTTCCAGCCCATGCCTCTTTGAGTCTCTCCAACCAGTCACCCAACATGTGAGTAAGCCTTCAGCCCTGATGGCAAGCACCTGAGACCCCAGGTGAAAACTGCCTAGCCAAGCCCAGTCAACCCCTAGAAACTGACAAACAGCCACAAATTGATTGTTAATAATCCCATATAATGTGGAGTATATAACCAGAACAGTGGCTTTGTTTGAGTCATGGGATAGCATGATTCATGTTGCATCCTGTATGGCTTTAACATTTTACAATGACTGCAATTTTAGGGAGAAAAAGAAAGCTTTTGTTTTCAGTTTTAAGGCAAATACACTATCTTACCTATTAAACCATTGTGCTTAACATGGCACCGGAATCTTCTCGGTATATAAACATCAATTGGGTGGATCTGTAATTCACCCCACCTCTTGTTCTGGTTACATCTAGCCCACATTTGATAGGGTAGGAACCATCAGGGTTAGACCCAGGCCATTTGGTTTAACTTAGTCTCCATCACTGTGGGCCTATCCTGGCCCCCTATTACCTATGGCTTGTAGGTTCCACAGGAGGCTGAAAGGTAGAGCTAATCTGCAGTGAGTAACAGGAAGGTTTATTTGGCCAGAAACA